GAAGACTTGGTCTTCAAAGATTTGATTATCTTTCTAATCTCAGCAGTTGAGACATACTGCCATTTGATAGATTTAAAAGTAGACGTGTATTTATTGCCCAGATAGTATAATGGGTTGATGTTGGTTAAAGTTTTGTTATTGTTTAAATCATCTATAATTGTCTGAGCTACTGAGGTAGAATATTCGTTAAGTACGTTTGCAATGCACTTTTTATTCTGCATCATACTATTACCAACTTTCAGCGATTGGGGTTCATCCTTCTGAGTTTTAGATCCAGTCTCTTTTTTAATAATTGACCATGTAGTTTTTATTTTATTATAAGATTTTTGGGTTTTGGTGGAAAAAGCCAAAAATAAAAAGAACACTAGAAAGCATAAATTTAGATGGGAAGATAATATTAAAATGGATTTTAAAGAAATAGGCTGAGGTGCTGTGGACTGGATTCATTTGGGTCAGTATAGAGATCAGTGGTGGGCTGTTGTGAGATGGTAATAAAACTTCAGGTTCCATAAAATTTTGAGAATTTCTTGAGTAGCTGAAGAACCATTGATTTCTCAAGGACTTGGTTCCAGGGAATTAGTTTTATATGTTTTGTGGAGGCTATATCTAGCCTTGACTGAACTGATAAAACCCTGCTAAAGTAATTAGCACTTTACAAACCAAGTGCATAATCAGATAATCTTGAATGAATGAATGAATGTATAAGGGGTGGACCTAAATGGCCCTTGCATCTCACCCTACAGGGCTCTATTGTGCTTCATCACATAATCATAATCTCCCTGCTTCTGGTGTGCTGTGTGGAAGTTGTTCCATTAGTTACATTTCTGAGCTTACTGTATGAGATCTGACAAACAAGACTGTACTCACAGTCAGCTCTATAAAATTTATTCTGAACTGCAGTGGTTTTCCTCAGAGTAATTCACTCCTGCAACACATACATGGATTCCAGCATTGTTTCCAGCTGTCATAGCACTCCTAGAAGTAACTGTCTTGTACATTGTACATTGCTTGGAGCAAATGTTGCAATATGAATTTCATCTTTGGTTTCAAAGTGTGGCCGTTTGACAGGATTCAGCATAGTATGGAAAAGGAAAAAATCACACAGAATGAGAGTGTGGTGAGTAAGCATGATCACAGTTAATTTTTTGCCAAAAACTCCTTGGCAGAAAGTGATGAGTGTGAGAATGTGTTTTCATGGTGCAAGATCCACTTGTCCGGGAACAAATCTGGCCTCACATGATGAACCTGCTCCCTCAGATGTTCAGAAACCTGAAGGTAAAACTTCTTGCTCACAGTTTGACTGGGTGTAACAAGCTGGTAATGCACTATCCATTTGCAATCAGAGAAAAAACCAACAGTGTCTTGAGCTTTGATTATGACATACACAAGCTCTTGTGGCAGGGCGAACCAAGAGATTTGCATTGCATGCTCTGCTGCTTTGTCTCAGGGTCATAGTGATAGACCCAACTTTCGTCCCTAGTGATGACTTTGTTCAGCCATTCTGATCCTCAATTTGTTTGCAGAAAATCATTGCAGAATTTACTCCTCTGTTGCGGTTGGTCCTTAGCAGGTTTTTGTCAATATCAACACATAAAATTACTTCGTTAACAAACTCTTGCTCACAGTAAGTCATGCAGTCTCTCTGTTGATATTCAGTTCTTCTGCAGTCATTCTGAAACACGTCAACCATTCCACAGCAGAGTTCTCAAGTTCTCAGCTTTGCAATGTCTTCATCTGATTCTGATGGTGCTGGATATAGAGGTTGACTGTTAAATTCAGCCTTGTTCCTCCATCTCCAAAAACCATTTAGCACTGCTTATCAAGATGAGCTATCCAAGCATTACATCAGTTAAAGCACAAGAGCTCTGTATTTTCCAGACTTAAGATAAGTGGAGTCTGGACTTGTACTTATAGGTAGTCATGTTCACCATTGACCAGAGAAAGACTCATGCTTTGCAGTGTTCCCAGTCCCATTATTTAATTGTCAGACCATGGATATTTGTATTAGATATATTAGTCTTTTACTCTGAAAGAAGAACATACACTACAAGTATTAGTAAATGTTTTGTCATAAGAATGATGACAACTGGGTGATGGAGAATGTTGCATGATGAGCAGCCTTGTGATATATACAGGTCACCCAGCATTGTCAGAGTAGTGGCAGTAAAATGTGGTCATGAGTCGAACGGAACTCAGACCTGAAAGTGACTGCACTGGCGAGTACCAGCAGCAATTGTGAATTACAGACCCATCCTCTCATTATAAAAGGTGTTACATAAGGATTATAACCACAAGTGTTCAGTTGGAAAGTAAAATTACTGGTCGTGAGTCTCAGGAGGCTTGTCACCAAGACAAACTGAATGGCGGTAAATCACCAGTCATAAAGTAACTCTGACTCTCTCTCTGCCAAAGTAGTGATCTGGAAAGTTAAACTAGACTGGACAGGCATATCGAATGGAAGAGACAAATGGTGGGAAATCTTCTTGGAGAAAGAACGGTTAGAAGACTGAGAAGAAACTGGGAGGATAACATTGTGATGGGTCTTAAAGAAATAGGTTACCATAGAGTTAATTATAACTTAATTCAGTTTCTAAAGCCTTGTTTTTGAAAATGGGGTGCACTATATGCAAGTAAGGTTTGTATTAAAGTAAGAAAGACTTAAAGAATATTCTTCATACCACTTCCATGTTAATAATTGTGTTTCACAGATTGGTGCAACATGAGTGATGCTGAAATCTTGGCCCTGACAGCTAATTTGGGTGCCTCTGTTTATCAGTCACTGACCATATTTGATGTGGAGAAGAAAATTGGCAAGGGTCAGTTCAGTGTGGTATATCGTGCTCGTTGTCGAACAGATGGAGCTATTGTTGCCCTTAAGAAGGTGCAGATATTTGAAATGATGGATGCCAAAGCACGTCTGGATTGCATGAAGGAAATCAACTTACTGCAGGTATGTCATCTTCTGTTATCTAATGACATTTACTGCCTATTTTAGCAAACTTCATGTAACTATCATTAGAATGCTAGGACAGGCATATAAAGTAAGAAATTTTTCTTATGTAATCTTTTACATTTCCATATTAGTTTATTTATCTTAGGGCGAAATAAGCGGCCTCCACAGTCTAGGGGGAACGTTCCCACCTCATGACTCAAGGTACGCGTGTTCAAACCTGGCGGAGGTCGTGGAATTTTTAAGGGCAGAAAAATTCAGGGACCAAGTCCTCCAGGAGGGACTTTTAAGCCGTGGGTCCTGTGTCGTAGCTTTACGACATGTAAAAAAACCTCATGTCTCAAGGAGGCCTCTGAGCCAAATTATAAGGACACTTCCCGCCCAACAATAGTCTCTAACGCATCTGGTAGATGGGGGAAGCATCTAGATACCGCTGAGCCAGTAGAGGCCGAACTCACTGGCTGAGTCGGGACTGATGGCATCGACCAATACTGGTAGGGTATAGAGACTGGTAGAATATCACAAGGGGACGTACAGTAGACCACTGGTCACAGTGCATGGGGAAACCCACCCCCTCCAATAATAATAATAATAGTAGTAGTAGTAGTAGTAGTAGTAGTAGTAATAATAATAATAGGGCCAAATATTTTCCTTAGCACATTATTGTCTTTAAGTACTTGCAATTTATGTCCATCCTTCAGAATATGGAATTAAACACCAAAAATGTATGGAATGGTGGGCAAATTCACTCTGATGCATAGGTCTTACTTCTGAGTATCTTTGAATGTAGACGAGATGGCCACAGTTTCAGAAGAACCTCCTGCCTCCATCCCCACTTTTCTTACCTAAAGATGGGGGCAGCAGGCTCCCCCAAAATGTTGATATCTGTCTACAAAGCTACAGCAGTACAACCATGAAGACCATCTTCATATTCACTGCCTAAGAACCTTCAGTCTTAAGTATGTTACTTTACTCACGTTATATAAATCTCTCTGTTGTGTCATTGTTAAGCCATTATTTCCTTTCTCCTCAGCAACTGAACCACCCAAATGTAATAAAGTATATCTCATCATTTATTGAAGACAATGAACTGAATATTGTGTTGGAGTTAGCTGATGCTGGAGACCTCTCTCGCATGATCAAGCATTTCCGCAAACAGCGACGACTCATCCCAGAGAGGACAATATGGAAGTATTTTGTGCAGCTATGTAGTGCTGTGGAACACATGCACTCCAAGAGAATAATGCATCGAGGTTAGCTGATACAGACTGATTACTACCAGTGGCAATGGGTTTATAATTGATAATTGGTAATTTATTTAACATTCACAATTGTTGCACAGGCACAATTGGACAAGTCGGTTAAAAACAACCAAACACTGCATGTCAACAACTCTTAAAAATGTACTAGTTACTTTTCTGTTTTCAGAAGTTACATAGCATCAGAATGTGAACACCAAGTTGGTAATGGTATACTAGGATACCATTTTAACATATTTAAGAAAGATTTGAAGTATTTTCTCTGAAGGGGAAAACAACTGAAACTTTAAGAAAATTGGTTTCCACAGGCACTTAATTGGACACTTAAAGCTACAGAGCAGGAGTGCTGACCATCATGTTCAACAATAGCAAATTGTGTAACTCCTTAAAATCTTTGATTTGGTCCTGGTCATTCGTGATTGTTTTCAGCAAAGCCAAAATTCTATTTTTCTTTATCTCTTTACCTCATTTCAGTAGCAAAAGTGTGAATATGTAATGGGACAAGTGTGTGTTACTCAAATGGATAGACTATATAGGAACTAATAATAATCCATGTTGCTAGTTCTGATGCAGTTTGTATGAATAGGATGATTATATTTTAAAATCAAGAACTTTAATATAGAATGTAAATCTTGCATCCCATTGCTATTCTGGAAGTTATAACTGTTGTCATGTTTTTGTTCTTCACAAGTTGAAAATAGTGCAATACAGAACTGTCTGTTGGTATTAAGTCACACTTCCTCCAGCAGCAGTTCACAGAAATATTGTCATGTAATCATAGGCCAAATTTACAAAAAGCAGTTCTCCCTAAATTTGAAGCTACCACACCAAATTTGTTCCTCTTAGCGGTGCCATTTCAAGAAGTTCAGATGTACTGAAGTGAACACTAACCTCAAATTTCCCATGGTCATCATGTTAATATTCTTAATACACCCTCTCAATAAATAAGACACATAGTAATAAATGTATTCCACATATCCAGGAGCCCAGTGTGTCGTCAGGTACATTCAAATCAAATTCATGTGTGGTTATGGCATGCAGAGTTGACAGCTTCTACTGAACACAGAAATACCTAGGAAATGCTGGTTTTAGGTCTTCACAGTCGTTTGTTGTTGACTGTGGGCCCCAGAACAGAATTAACACCTATGAATTGCCTGAAAGTATCACCTAGTTTTAGCATTGGTATCATGGAGTCTCAGTACAACATTTAGAATTTTGGTCCTGTAAACAGAATTCACTCTTAATTTACTTTCCTTTCAAAGGAAAGATACATCCTTATTCTAGAATACCAGTCAAGGTGTAGTGGTAATGCTTCAGCAGTTCATTCACCAAATATATTATTGCTTACCTGCAAGGAGGAATTTATTGCTCTCATTTAATACCAAGATGGTACTTTCAAATGATCGTGTCCTTCCAAGTCCTTACATGCCCTCCATTAATAGTCACTTTTCCATCTCGTTTGATGCCATGTAACTTTTGCAGGTGACACAGCATTGTTAAATAATCCAGAATCATTCTGTTGTTTCACTCACAGAAAACAAAGTATTCAATATTGTACCCATGAAGGAAAAAAGATAAAATTTGTTCCATATTTATAAAAATTCATCAAATGAAGAATGGAAAATGTGACAAAATGTGGAAATTTTGTCCATAGGCTGTTCAGAATTGTACATTACATCACCAAACTGAACTCTGGAATGTTATTTTATAAATTAAACACAAAAGCATTGTGTTATTGCAGATATCAAACCAGCAAATGTGTTTATCACTGCCCAGGGTGTTGTGAAACTGGGTGATCTTGGCCTTGGACGGTTTTTCAGCTCAAAGACAACTGCAGCACATTCATTAGTTGGCACACCATACTATATGAGCCCAGAGCGAATACATGAGCATGGGTACAACTTTAAAAGTGACATTTGGTCACTTGGTTGTCTACTGTATGAGGTAAGCACAAGTTACAGTTCATGAAGGTGAGTGCACTGTTGATTGCTGTTAGTGCCCCTCTCCGTGGATTAAGCTCAAGTCTGGTCTGACTATGTAGCCTTCCTTTCAGTGGTCTTCCACTTGTTTATTACCATCAGTTGATGTTTCGACCAAAGTAGGTCATCCTGTCATAAAACCTTTCTGTTAATTCCTCATCGCACCATAACCCCCCCCCCCCTCACTGAACGCTGCAATTGAGGAGGTAGCACTCCTGCTTCATATTTTTGAGGTTCCAGGTTCCAATTTTGCCAGAGAAACCAGCCACTCTGACAGGTTAGTCATGATGTTCTCAGTTCCTCCAGCAGATGCTAGGAAAGTACCTTAAATTAGGCCATTACCACTTTTTCTCTGCCCTTTCCATTTCATTTAAGATACTGTTTGTTGCTATATAGTTGGAACTGTTGAAAGCATTAAATACACCATAAATAAATAAAGAGTTCCTATCTTCTGGGATATAATACCATGTAGTCTGATGAGAGCCAGCTTACTTTGTGGGTCTTGAATTTTATCTAATATTTATGTATGATAGATGTCAGGCCACGCCATAGCTCAAGCATTTAGTCGCTGGCTTTCCACTGCGGTGGCCCGGGTTCGATCCTGGGTCTGGTCAAGTGGGATTTGTGGTGGACAAGGTGGCGCTGGGGCAGGTTTTTTCGAAGTACTTTGGTTTCCCCTGCCAGTTTCATTCCACCAATTGCTCCATAATCACCCTCACCTATCATCTGGGGCTGGTACAATAGGCCAGAGGTGGCCGCAGTATAAGGGACTTAGTCCCACCCCACTAGCAATAAAAGAACGTATGATAGGTACCTTGTGTGTGAGTTTATGTTAAATGAATTGTAAAACTAGCTTCCATGTTTACTTCTATGGTGAAACTGAAGAAGTTACTTGAGTTCTGGTTTTTCATTATTAAATACTTGTCTAGAATGTGGTGGGACAAATTTCCTTAATGTAAAAAACTATTTTTTTTAAATCATTTATATCTACTGGCAAAATAACATTTAAACATTTAAATATCCCAGGGTTCATAATGTTAAGGTCCATTTTATTGTTAGTCCCCAATCTATACCTAGTTCTCCAAAGTGTTCTCTTCCCTTCAAATTTACCAATTAAAATTTTGCAGTTATTTCTCATCATTCCCTTGCATACTATTGGTCCATCCATTTTGCCCCCCTTGACTTGATTACCCTAATATTATTTGATGAAGAATACAAATAATGCTCTTCAATATACAACTTTCCTTATCCTCCTGATATATCTTCCCTTGATTTGAATATTCTCAGCACCCTGGTCTCTTTCATTCTCAGTCTGTGTTCCACCCAGGAAGTGAGGGACCAAGTTTAACACCCATATAAAAAAAACACACTCCATGGCTTTAGTCTGCAAGTGAACTATACCAACTGAGTGACCGCTGCTTGTCAGCAAAGTTAGTGCCAACTGTAGCAGATAGAGGGTGTCCCGTGGTCGGCGCAATGAATTCCCACGGCCGTTAATTTTGGCTTTCTAGACTGGAACCGCTATTTCCTTCAAATAGCTCCTCAGTTATCCTCATGAGGCTGAGTGGACCCTGTTCCAGAACCACTACTTCTCAGAAAATCTGGTAGCGCTGGGAATCGAACCCAGGACCTCTGTATCTGTAGCCAGGAACTCTGACCACTAGACCATCATGTAAAATTATTGTTGTATCTTATTCATAACATTAACATTCTTTTTAATCTGGAAATGATTTAGTGCTGCTGTTCTAACATATTTTGTTTCCTAATTTTTTGACGCATTATTAGCTAAAGATCACTGTCTTCCAGGATGTGACACTGTGTAGTTTGGCAGATAGGTACCAATATATCAGATTACAAGCATCTTCTACCCTGAAGATGGAGACCACAAGTTCCTCTGAAACAGTGATACTTACCTGGCAAACTACACAGCACACATACCAGAAGATGGTAATTTACAGTCACTGCTGAACCTCTGATCTCACTGTGCATTAGCTGATTTTACAGTATGATTTTTATCCTGTATGAGCTGGCTTAGCTCAGTCAGTGTAGTAACTGAGATGTGGGTTGGATGACTTAGGAATCGGGGTTCTCTTTTCAGGAGGAACAGCAGTTTTTTTGTTCTCAGCAGCATTCAAGACAATCTCTTGGGCCTACCTACCCTCCTGTCCAGTGGGTATCCTGGAACCTTTCCCCAGCGTTAAAATAGTCAGTCACTCATCTCCATAGGTTAAGAAAGCTCGAAGCTATACCTCCACTCCTCAACACGTGTTTATAGCATGGTGCTTAATAAAGCACAGGAACAGCTTTAACTTTACCTGCTCTCTAGTGATCGAGACATGAAATATTCTTAGTTTTCTCTGTGTTTACATATTGTTTCTATTGTTCCACTTATCACTTGATATTGATGTGTCTTGTTGCTGCCAGTCTATGACTGTGAATTGTGTTTATGGCAGATGGCCGCCCTGCAGTCACCATTCTATGGGGAGAAAATGAATCTCTACACACTGTGCATGAAGATAGAGCAGTGTGACTATCCCCCACTCCCAGCTGATATCTACTCAAAAGAGGTGGGTTCTTCTGCAATGAATAACATGGTCATAGTTATTTCATTTAGTGATTTTAATCTGTATATGATAATATTGCCATTTGTAGGGTTTGAGAAATATGGTCATCCACTCATCTCAGGAGAACTGACATTATATGCTGGTGAGCTCACAACAATTATATTTTAATGGATCATAGGTTCCATTTGCCTGTAGGCTACAGAACTACATGGGAAACAAAATACATCTGATAATGAGAACCATATGCATGTAGATAGACTTGAAAGGATTCTGACGATGGTGTGTACTGTACTTCTTTTGGCTTATTTTGGACTTCACCCATCGTCTGGTATGTAAAAGACAAAAGACCACGACGTTTCGGAGACTGGATCTGTCTCCGTCTTCAGGTGGGTAGGGAAGGATAAACCTACTCAGTTGGGCCCATTAGAAAGAGCTAGTCTCAATCGCTGGACAAACCCTGGTCTGTAGAAAAACAACCTATGAACAACCAACAACTGGTTCCATCAGTGGGAGAAAAGAATAAAATCATGTTTTTACTGTGATTTTATTCTTTATCCACCTGAAGACGGAGACAGATCCAGTCTCCGAAACGTCGTGGTCTTTTGTCTTTTACATACCAGACGATGGGTGAAGTCCAAAATAAGTACATATGCATGTACCTTATTTCAAGTACTGTTTTTTAGATTCAAGTGCATGGCATGAAGTGAGAACAAGAGTTCCACAAATTTTTCACAGTTTCATAAATTATAAACAGTATTCTTTGAGAACATTTTATTATTAATATTTTTTTATTTTAGTTCCATATCGTTTTTAATTGGTTTTGTGAATACGGATTTATGAAAAATTTTTAATAAAAAAAAGTAAAGGTATCCCTGTAACAGGCCATGGAGGCCCATGGGGTTGTGAGATGTTGAGGTTCCCACATTCTCTAGACAATCGGCTCATAGATGGCGGCAAGGTTGTCAGTCCTACATGCCAGCTGCCCTTTACCCCCAAGAATATTCCAAGAATGTTCCAGGTACTCATTTCTGTTAGAGGGTTAGTCAACCCCAGGACAAAAAATTGTTAATACAAATATGAATCACTATATTTACCAGACATTTTCTGAATGATAAATTGAATACATCCTTTAACATTCTTCCTATTTCCAGATCAATAAATCAGTGTTATAAGCTGGTGTAATGTAACTTTGCAGTGAAAGTGATAACACTCTTATGTGAAGTGACAACTTAAAGGCTGGAGACTGATAAATGAATTTTTAGGTTGGCAAGTAGGACTTTGCATAATTTCTGAAGCCCTGGCCATTCATAAGTTATGAAGCTTTCTTAATGTTCAGTAAGCATGAAAGATAGTCCTCTTTATGACTTCCTTATTATTTTATTTTATTTTTGGTTTTTAATAGGGATTTTAATGGCTGATATTGCCTAATGTCGAATGTCTGGGTTATTAATGAATAATGAATTCAAAAAGATGTGAAAGGAAGCAGCCATGGACTAAGTTAAGGTACTTCCCTGTTATTTGCCTTGAGGATCTGAGGAAAAGTACAGAATAATCACAGTCAAGATAACCTGAGGTTTGAACAAGGACTGCCTGAAAATGAAGTAAGAGTGCAGCCCACTTGCCTACAGTTGGTCTCATTGCGTTTTGTGGCCTGTCAGTTATTTACTAGTTGAAGAAAACAAGTTTGTTACCTTGTAAATGCACAGTGACTGGTAATGGAGTTATGAAAGGTCCATTATAATTAATACCAAAGCCAATATTGTGAATGAATTCAAGCCAGTTTGATCAATCTCCCATCAGAGACAACAGACATTAGAAATTTCAGACGAAAGTCAAATGATCGGGACCAATGGTAAGCAATTGTAAAAGAGGACAAAATTCATCATGGACTGCAGCCCTTGCAGAAGAAGATGGAGGAGGAGCAGGAGCAGGATGATGATAATGAAAGTGGTAGTTGTGGTTGTGGTGATGATGATGATGATGATGATGACAATGATTATATCCCTGTGATCAATGTCAATACATATTAGCCTCTCATTTCCATCCCAAATGGTCAGTATGTCCTGAGGTTCCCCTCCAAAATTCTGCACCAACTGTTGTGTCACCCATCTGAATTTAAACTTATGAATATTCCTCATTAATTAATTGTGATCTGTACAAATAACGAATTTCCTCATTATACCGTGTCCTAAATTTCCCACTAATTCTCCCAGTTATCACTCTGTAGATTTAGAGCACTGCAAGTTGATGTGATGTCTGACATTTTCTCAAAAGTTGCGAGATTTGGTGGGTGCCTGTATAAATGCTGAACCATCAAAGCGACCTGACATCAGCTACGTGTATGGAGTGGCACGTGAGATGCATGCCCGCAACCAGATAACAGGTAGTGCTGTGTCAATGGCACATGACCACCAGCAGGCCATACTAAGACACCATGACTGGCCATTACAATAAAGGTAAATTGCCTAACTTATGGTTTGATTTTTAGATTCTTTATATATTCATTCTCACTTTCCCAAATGGTTATCACTGACAAGAATAATCACTATGATAACAGTCTACTTTTTATCAACTCTCCAAGGTAGATGTGGCATAAGAAATACAGTGACTTGCTACTTTTGGCCAAAAGAAAAACATTAAAGTAACAGTGCTTTATTCTGTACCTGCTGAGATTACAGTCTTCCAGGATGTGATCCTGTGTAGTTTGGTAAATGGTTACGAAAGTCTTGTAGGAACCTACTGCCTCCATCATAATGGGAGAAGAATGAGATGTATGGGAAAGAATTGGTGCAGGTATACAGAAAGAAGGAACAGGACTGGGGCTATGAGTGAACCAGTGGCCCTGAACAGGATTCTTCTGTAAGAGTATGTGGGAACATTCCCACAGCATCTGGCAGAGAATCGTCACCCCTTTCAGAAAGTGCCAAACAGGCAGCTGTGGCCAGAGCGACGCTGATATTTACACAGCACTCGATGTCCAACCCACTTGCAGATCATCACGTGCGATATTCAGTCACATTGCTGGCACCACTCATATTTATACGGCACTTGATGCCCAGCTCACTTGTAATCATTACACGCGCTAGCCATTCAGCGCTCACAATCGCAACTGCAAATTTCGCTACTCCATCAAGCATGGTATAAAAGGCGGAGCCCCAAGCTCACAATCATCAGTCGACACCCTCGGTTCATCCCAAGACAGCAGCCCAGAGGCATGAACTCTTCACAGCAGCAGGCAACTGTCGTAGTTGCCGCAAGCCTCCAGCGACCAGGCAACTGAAGTAGTAGCTGCAAGCCTCCAGCAACCAGGCAACCAAAGTAGTAGCCGCAAGTCTCCAGCGACCAAGCAACCGAAGTAGTAGCCGCAAGTCTCCAGCGACCAGGCAGCGAACGTAGCTTCCACACCTCCAGCAACCGGCCGAGGTAGCTGTTTCTACTGGCGCGCGCAGGACTACATCACCATCCAGACAGGCCAGCTGAAGGGCTGTAAGACTCCGCCTACTATGGAGGAACAAGAGTCTGCTGGCACACTCGCGGTGGAACAGTGAGGGCAAATCAGTGAGAATAGGCAAATAGCAAACGCATATGGTGAACATTAATAATGACCCCACAAGTAGATGAAGTGCAGTAGGTTTCTTAAAAACGCTGGTACATGTTTACCAAACCACACAGTGTCAGAGCCTGGAAGACCATAATAATGACAGTCACCACCATGATGAGCTCAAATCTCATGCATCATATGTTGGTTCTCAAAACCATATGTCTGAAAGTACCATTTTTATTTTGTATATATTTGTATATATGCATATAGGATATTGGTGGGAAAGCCAGAAGGAAAGAGACCACAGGGAAAACCAAGGCATAGGTGCGTGGACAATATTAGAATGGATCTTAGAGAGATAGGATGGGATGGTATGGATTGGATAGATCTGGCTCAGAATAGGGACCAGTGGAGGGCTCTTGAGAACATGGTAATGAACCTTCGGGTTCCATAAAATGCTGGGAAATTCTAGAGTAGCTGCAGAATTGGCGGCTCCTCCAGAAGGGCTCAGCTTCACGAGTAAGTAAGTAATATATCTGTATATATAGATAGCTTGACAGTCTCATAAGGTTACAATTTTTTGTCTTTAAAGGAAGAAAAGTCAGCTCAGAATACACAATTTATATGGTTTATTATGTTTTATTCATCTCTTTTCCAGAGTAAGGTATATACAGGAAGGTGAAGACTTCAAGTTTTGGTCTCTACTACACTAAAGTTGTTGAACACGGCATTATTTAAGCAGTTTCCCACATCAGAAAAATTTGGATGCAAGCGTGAATTATATTAGAGCACGTGTGAAGTGAATTGAAACAGTCAGGCATTCCACATCATGCATCCACCACATAATGATGACAAGACTGAGTTTTAAATGGGTAATATGTGCCTTGCCAGAAATTATTCTAGTGTTGTTTGTTACATTCAGTTTATTTAAGAACAATTTTATCAGCATTAATGTTTGTCTTTTCAATAAATGTTTAATTATTGAAGTCATGTTAAGATATGGTAATAATAATAATATGCTAGTTATCCTTGCATCATAAACCCCATTGCAGACATTCGTCCATTTCCTGATTCTGAACTTATTCACATCGTCCAAGCCTCTCCATTTGATGTCTTTTATAGCCAAATGGTAGAATGCTACAAGGAGCAACAAGAGGCTGGAGCTTATTTGATTAGAGTTTAACATATCACATAACTTTTTGTCAATTGTGGTTGGTGTTATATTATGCATGGATTTCATCTCCTTTTATCTGCTTATTGTTATTTATTGTCCACATTTTGCACATCCATGTGTCAAATTAGCAAACGGAAATACAAGGATCATACTGAAAGTCATGAGCAACAATTTTTTGTAAAGTAATATGCTTTATTATTGACAAACCAAATACACCACCTCAATCTACAGACCTTTCTTTATTTTTCCACATAATCACCACTTCTTTGTACACATTTCTCCCAGCGTTCTGGGAGTTTGAAAATTCCCCTTCTGTAAAATTCCGTTCCAGCCATCCGAAGACACTGACGCACTGCTTTCTGAATTGCCTCCCTTGTCTCAAAACGTTGTCCACGCAGCTGATCCTTCACAAATCCGAAAAGATGGTAGTCGGAGGGTGCCAGATCAGGGCTTTAGGAGGGGTGTGGAAGAACTTCCCACCCCATCTTTGCAATTGCTTCCAATGTGACATCTGTGGTCTTCAGTCAATAACCGCGGAACCCAGCAAGCACAAACTTTCCTATAGCCCAAGCTTTCATTCATCTCCTGTACTGCACTGTGCCCTATTCCAAGTTTTTGGGCTATTGTGTCCACAATCGCACGCTTGTCATCTTCAATGATCTCATCCACTCTTTCCTTGTTGCGTTCAGTTGAGGCTGTTCGAGGACGACTGCTCCAAGGCTCATATTTGATGCTGTTGTTCCCATCTTTAAAATATTTCACCCATCTTCGAACACTGCTCTCATCCATGCACACACTTCCATAAGCACGCTGAATTCAGAAAGCAGTGTGTCAGTGTCTTCGGATGGCTGGAACCGAATTTTACAGAAGGGAAATTTTCAAACTCCCAGAACGCTGGGAGAAATGTGTACAAAGAAGTGGCGATTGTGTGAAAAAATAAAGAAAGGTCTGTAGATTGAGGTGGTGTATTTGGTTTGTCAATAATAAAGCATGTTACTTTACAAAAAATTGTTGCTCATGACTTTCAGTACAACCTACTTATCATGAATTGCTCAGAGCTCCAGACTCTTATCATCCCTCAGTGAGCAGACTGGAATGTTTTTCTTGAAGCTTCAGCTAATGTAACATGGGTGGCCAGAGCGTTGCTGGGTAACGGACCGATAAACATACGCGATACACACTGGCAACAGTGGAACAACGAGGTTATGCAACCTGCTTTTAAGCAGTGATTCAGTAAACAGACTTCCTCGCAGGTGCAATGACATCACACCGCAACAGTGGTAGCTATCATGTAACTGGCTTTCTGTGGAGCCCATGCCACGACTTGTAAACATGTTCCAACAATATAAGCTGTTTTCTGCGTGGTCAGTGCGGAAGCTATGTAACAACATTTACGGACAGAACAGATTTCTGTATTTGGGAATATCTGAGTGCATTTAAGTGACAGTGACTGCCACAGGAAGTTCGTTGCGTGAAGATTTGGCGTGTGATTGGAAGACTTTAATTATGTCTAATATTTGTAGTGATTTGAAGTGACAGTTTCTGTGTGAAGATCCATTACTAGGAGATGACTAGTGGAAGACAGAGAATCCTAGTGTGTGTGTGCAACAGTGAACTGGAAAGTGTGTAATTCAGCGATAGCGCTGTATTGCATGTATTTGAGCGTAATTAAGAGTGTGTGTAACCAAGCTGTTAACTCTTTGACTAGCGCGAAGGGTATTTAAATCCCACCCCTGTCCTGGCAGGCCCTTTAAANGCATACCCCTACACATGACACTATAACTCTATCTTTATTCCTGTTGCTCCCACTTGGAGCATAGGGCATCAGTGAAATGCTCATTTCATTTCAGTTTCTTATCTTAGACAGTTGGTAGGACTCCTTGGACAGGGGATCAGCCAGTTGCAGAACCACTACCTTACACAAACACAGAATAAACATAGGCAAACATCCATGCCTTGAGTGGGATTTGAATCTATGACCCCAGCATTTGAGCAAGTGAAGAAATTTCATACCTTAGACCATGCGACTACTGTGTTCAGCTAAGCTGTAAATAGGATATCTAAATTGGAATTTAGCAATGTTCAAATTCAGAATTTTTGTACAGGGGGTCATTCAGAAGAGAATGATTACTGGGAATCATGAGGATCATGCCCAGAATGTCTGCATTCCATTGATTAGTTCACAGGGTTGTCAAATATAAATTTATCTTTTGGTACTTCGGGTATGGTATTCATAATTAATTATGTAAGATACTTGTAATACTCGTAATTCCAAATTAGATATCAAACTTGGGGTAGGGAAGAGTAAATTAAAATCTCTACAGGCATGTATTTAATTCTGGAGGAACCCCAATGACAGTTTTTGCATTCAGTGAATATTTATTCTGCTTCCAGCTGTAACCCCATATAAACAATATTATGGCATATAAATCTATTTCTAAGCAATGCCCACAACACCCACACAGTCCAACGTGTAACAATAGAACAACAGGATTATGCAATCCATTTCTAGGCAACAGCTCGGTAAACACAATCTGCATATCAGACCATGCTATGCACCTCAGTGACATCAACAATACAAACTCTGTTTTCCGTGGGGTCTGTGTGGAGTGCTTATAAGAGAAGTCAATTCAGAAGCTAAGAGTTAAATTCCATACGTTTATGATTACATAACAAAATTATGCAGGCAACAAGCAGAAGTCATACAAAATCATGATAATGAGAATGTTCGCAACATCGGACAAGGCGAAGCCCGACACAGAAAGTATAAGAGGCTTAAACTTGGCGGCAGTCAGGCATACGACCGTTCAAGTGNTAAGAGTTAGTTCAGTGCAATGTGCAGTGCAGTAGGAGAATTAGACTGGAAAGTTGAAGTCAGCCACAGGAAGTCTGTAGTTGAAGAAGAATTAGAAGTCAGCCTGTGAAGACTATGATTTGAAGACTTTATGTGTGCTGTTGTACAGTGATATTGGGAGTGCATGATTGAGACTTTTATATTTCCTCTGTAAAATCCATTGACAGGAAATGGATAGTGAAAACATTATTTAAATTAGCAATGATTAGTGTAAGGAGTTATAGAAGAGTTTGTTTGTGTTTTATAATTACAGTAATTACAGTAATAATTGATTGTAGTTATGACTAATGAATATCCAATAAATTGACTCACTAATCCAAACCCCATATACTGGTCACTAATATACATGACAAATTATTGTAACGTGTTTGGAGTAGGTATTTGCATGGTAACGCAATAACAGTGAGCTGCTGCCTAAAGAATGCCAAAACAACGGACGCGTTTCCCTGGAGATGAACAACAGAAAGTTTGTTGCACAACAGCGGACTGTCGAAACAGCAGAAACGGAACCATGAGGAATGGTGTCTGGTATCCGGTCAGCATAACGCCTATGTAAGAGAGTTTGAAGCAGAGCTAGACACACATACGAACGAAACAGTCGAGATCCAGCCACGGCTGAGGCCAGGTGAGAGGTCGCAGCCACACTAAAAGCATTGGAGTAGAGGCAGTAGTTGTGATACTGCAAGCGATAGTAACTGTATTCCTGACACTAAGCAATTGTGGATGAAGAAGCCAATAAATAATCGTTGAATCCGAACGCTACGTGAATTTATTTGTCACGTGATATACCAAAAACATGACATTGTTATCCTATATTTAGTGAATTTAATTGAAATAACCCACATTTAATGTAAGAATCTTTTTTATCTGCCATGATTGTGCTTTGTTGTGGAGTGAAGGCCAACTCCCGGTAATATGTTAACAGAGTATTAACTTTTTGTATTTTAGGGAAAAATATTGGTTGGAATAGATTTAGTCTTGGGGAATACTTGTAAGATGTACGAAAGCGGATGTAAGAAGGTTAAACAACTTAAAGGAATTTCTGCGTATGGACTTAGACGGACATTGGCTTGCCACGCAGGAATGTCCAGTCAGCAGAATGACATTGAAGGTACCTCGAAATGCTAACTTTGCAGAAGCTACACTTGAGCAAGATGGGGGAACGTTGCAGGTAAAAGTGTTATCCAAAGGGCCTAGCAGTAGAAGGGGGTGTGTCCCCTTAGGATCCCCGCCAACGAGATCACCCACCTTGGGATGAGACGTCATTGGAGGAGGAACTGCACCCCCCGGGAAAATAATGAGTTAGCATAAATAAAGGTATATAACCCAGGGACCAAAGGAGTAAGGGGATTATTCTAACAGTAATTTTGGCCAATTGCAGCCGATGGCCATGTCAGAATGGGCACCGACTCGACACCCGGCAACGCCATCCGTCTGCAGATTCAACCCAAGTAAGTGGAACTACTCTTATCGCCATGCATAATAATTGTGATATTATTAAAGTGTAACTCCTCCAATGGGACTTGAGTTCGGAACATTAGAACAAGTGTACAGGGCGTAAGAGTGATCCAACTGAGTGATGCAGAGGTAGCCAAGTGTAATGTGTAACCCGACACCAGTCGGCTCTTTCATTGTGATAGTACCAAAATGTGTATAACTGTATATTGATTGTGTTTATACTAATATAGGGTAGCATAGGGTGAGGATGTGGGTTTCTGTTGTGATTTCCTCCCTTACCACATTTTGCAGCCAAGCCAGGTGAACAGTGAGCCCCTAGCCAATGAAACAATGATAGAGGAAGTAATTTAGTCGTTTCCTTAGCCCACCCCCTGTGATTGCAGTACAAAAGGTGACAGCGGGGATACCTCCACGCCCCCTGTCACCACGAAATAACTGGTGGCATAACATGCATGAAACAGCAATCAGTATTCATGTTTTCTTCTGCCATGAATCATTACTGCACTGACAGACATCACTTATTGAAACTGCACTAAAACTGTGCCGCTTATGGCCTCAGTTGCTTGTATTCTTTCAGTGTTTATTTCATGTCAGTAATTATTTTGTAAATTAATTTAATATTAATTACTATGAAATTGTGTCCATGTAGAAACAGTTTATGTAGTTTGGTTGGTTCTCCTGGGGCACTTTGCTGGGCTGCATGACATTGCATTCTGAGGTACCATTGTGTTGATTTTGCCCTTTTCATTTTAACTAATTTTTAGCTTGATATTTTATTAAACAGGTACAGATACCTTTAGAAACTGAGTGTCTCTCTCTCTCTCACACACACACACACACACACACCACACACCACAAATAATTTACTAGCTGGACCGCGGGGTACCTCAAAAGGAGAACACATGGAAATTTACTGACAAATTGTTTTGCTAAACCCTTTAAGATGGTGCAGGTACAAGGATATTCATGGTAGTGTGATGAAGATATTTAAAACTTCAATGTTCCTAGGTGGACAGATTGAATTAACCGGTATTTTGTTCCTGCACCTCCTTTGTTAAAATGGCATATTTTTTAATGGTTTAAGATACTGCACTGCAGCAAAAAGCATTCTGAAACATTCGCTATTTGTATCAGTTTACTATACATTTGTGTATTTTAATATTTTAAAGTTTAAAGGGAATTTTAGACTATGGAAATTACAAAAAGTGTAGCAAATGAATGAACTTATCTGTAAGACACATTCAGTCTCACCTCTTGCGGAGTCAACATTGGGAAGTTTCTTCCTGAATTAATGACAAAGTAAATGCACCTCTTTGTTCCTATGTCTGCTAGCATATTCATGTCCTGATTGGCCAGACACAACTGTAGTAAGCTATGTATAAACTATCAGTAGGGTCACACCTTTTTGTAGATAGAATAACAGTCTGAAAGACCACTGCAGGCCATATGTTCATCTTGCATTACTTTTTGGTGCAGACTGTAACATGAGAACTGAGATAAGTTGGTCAATATAATGACTAGGGTTGACAGCAGATGGTCAAGCGTAATTCCTGGGAGGGATGGAGATTATTCTCTTCTCCTTAGGGCTCAGATTTGTTGTGGGGCCTAGTGACATTCTGTATGCTGGGTACTGGATGTAAAGCAGCCGGGATGTGAAGTTTACCACTTCTATATAGTGCCAAGGTTAAAAGGAGTGAATCAGTACCTCTGCTCTCTTCATATGTCTTCATGACATGATGGCAATAGTTGGTTGAGGCACTATGCTACAAGCCAGAAGATCGCGGGTTCAATTCCCAGTGGGTTCATCAGATTTTTCAGTTGACCTATTCCTTCTAGCCGCATCATGGCCCTGGGGTCGGTTCAGCCTCTAACAGAAATGAGTACCAGGAATCTTCCTGGAGGTAAAGGGTGGCCAGCTGGCACATAAGGTTGACGACCTGACTGCCATCTGTGAGCTGATTGTCTAGAAAATATGGGAACCTCAGTGTCTCACAACCCTATGGGCCTCCACACCCTTTTACAGGGATAGCTTTACATTTACAGGGGTACATTACTCTTACTTTACAGGCTGGAACATGGACAAACACATAGCTCTCAAGCCTCACAAAATAAGGTTATGTTTTAGCATAAATAAGACATCCTACCAGTCCTTCTTGAAACTCTGTATCTCTGTGCTTGTATATCACAGTTACTTCATCCAAGGTTAAACATTCTGTTTGGTGGTATGCTCCTGCCTCATTCATGAGATCCCTGAGACCACCTATCCTGATTGGGGTCCTATGCTGTTCTCCTCAGCCCCTAAAAAAAATAGCTTAAAAGTGAATAGCTGCTTTTGTCCATGTTCATTCAAATTCACTATTCACTAACTATGCTATAATTCGGTGATATTTATTTTGATTACTTGAAAGAACAATTAAATAAATGAATTATTAAAACTAAATATGTTATTCCATTGTCTTGACCCCCTATTATTAACAAAGATATAAGAAAAATGTTTAAGGAAGCAGTCTTTGCCTATTTAAAAATGTTATTCCAGCATTTTCCTGCAGTGGCTATGAAAGAAAGATAAAAAACCTCTTTCAGGATAGGCTTTGGGCCAAGTTCTTGAACACTGATAATCCCAGTTGCAAAGCAGGAATGTTGAAAACTTGAACACTATTTCTGTGAAATAATGTATTATATGTAAACATCAGTCAAAGCAGTCAAACTATGGAACCTGCACTGATATGATGTGCAACAACATGACTCAGGCAGGGATTGGAAACTATGTGTGAAGTACATGAGCATTGTTTTCACTTCTTCAGTGGTGCCATGCTTGATTTCTTGAAACAATACTATCACCACCTTCTCGTAAGTTATGTGTAGCTTCAGTGTCAGAATCGTTTGAGATATGCTGTATTTCAGATTTATTACAAAACCATCTCTTTGATGTCATGTGTGCCAAAAACATGACCATTATGCCATGGTGCTAGCAACAAAAATACTGATTTTTGAGATGCATTGTACCCAAGTCCATAATAAACAAAACACCAATTTATGTCATTAATTCATAGCTGCAAGTCTGTCAAATAAACAATACATACCATAATTTCATTTAAGATTAAATTTTAATACTTGACCATTTCCAGAGAATGAGGATGTCCATTGAATTTTATAGGCATATAATATCAGGTGATTATGCAATACATCTTTGATGCTGCCACCTCCTCATACTGGTTCCTCACTCAGAGACTTTTCTACCCTGAAGATGGAGGCAATACATTCCTCAGAAACGTCGATTTACACTACATCTAGACCGCACCACATCCCAGAAGATGGCATTCTTCATAGTCACCACCGTGAAAACCACAAATATAAGACCTTTTATATTAATGATTGTTAAATTCATGTATGAGGCTGTTGGAACTTCTCCATAAGGAGAGGAATATTCAGAGAGAAAATACGTATTAAGCTTGTCCATAGCTTCCAGTTACTGACCTACTACTTTTATTTATAATATCTTCATGTCAAGAGTCAAATTGAGGTTGCTTCAAGAATGTTATGAACAGCATTTTAGTGTCCAATATGCCCACTTCACCTTCTGTCCTTACTGCGACAAAACTAACTGAATCAGTAATCTCAAATTTTACCATGTCTGTTTGTTGCCTTAATGCATATGATTGATGTGTTTCCCTGCATGAATCAGATTCCAATTTTAAGACATTCACATTGCACAACTACCACACTTTAATATTTAAGCAACTTTTGTGCAAAGACAAATGAAAATGTCAGGTGCCAATGATAGCCTCATGACCCACGCAATATAATGGGTAAGATCAGTACAGGCAGATTACCAATATATAGCATAAATCAAAAAACAAACAAAACAAACTCCACGATTTTAGTCTGCAGGTGAACTGTACTGACTGAGCTACCGCCGCTTATTGGTGAAGTTAGTGCCAACTTTAGCAGATAGAGGGTGTCGCATGGTCAGTGCAACAAATCCCCACAGTTTCGTTTTTCTAGACCGGAGCCACTATTTCCTTGAAATAGCTCCTCAGTTATTCTCACAAGGCTAAATGGACCCTGTTCCAGACCCAATATTTCTCAGATAATCAGGTAGCTCCGGGAATCGAACCGAGACCCCTGGTTCTGTAGGCAGAAACTCTGACCACTAGACGACAGAGGCGGCACAAATAAATAGTATAAAGAAGAAAAATAAATATTGACAAATTACTGGAATAAAAGACATGCAATATTACATATGAAGACCCTTCTTTATACTCCAATACATAAGAAGATGGTAAGAAAATTAAAGAATTGGTTAGATGATTGGCATAGACTTCAAAGAATCGTGATTTTATTATATTTTAATGTAGTTAAGACATGGAATATAAAACTTTAATACTTAAAGATAACTGTCAAATCTCACCCTTAAAATGCAGTTAAACACCCCTGAAGATGACAGAATTCCACAAAAATATGTAGAGTAAAAATTAACATTAAAATGTGAAGATAATGACAGTTGTATCATATGGTTTTTATTTAATTGACTTAATGGAAAAAATGGTAATAATAATAATGACGTCTTTAAAATAAGTATCTGGTTTACTTCAGAGAAATTACATGTGTGCATTACTTATAGTCTGTACTTTGAACTAGTGTTCACTGTTTCAATGTTGAAAGTGATGTCAGAGGAAAACAGCAGAATGAAGTGACAAAGTGCATTGCATCATAGTGTTAAGGAGGAAAGAACAATTTTGGAGCTGGATGGTCACACAATTTGGCAGACCAGTTGTTCAAATACAGTATCTGTATTGTTTTAATTGTTGTAAGTTCAACCATAAACCTGACTCAAATTCACTATTACAAGGCGTCCATCTCCGTACTTTCACCCTTAACTCAAACATGTATGCAAATTTGTATCTGAAAACTAGCCATAGATTTACAACCTGGTAGTCATATGTTTATATCAGAACTTAATGTATTGCTTTCGAAGGGAATAATTTTTGTGAGTGAGGGAACCAGCCAGTAAAGCATTGCATGCAGGAATAGAAATGCATTTGTAGGTAGAGGTGAGTAGTCAGAGTCAGACCTATTGTTTTCTAGCCCTTTCTGCCCGAGTGATTCCAATTGGAATCGCTATCTCTCTTGACTTTTGAAGCCCATATTACGCGGCGAATGATTCCAGTTGGTATCATACGTTATAGTTCCGTTCTTTGCCGACAGATCGGAGCAGTTGTTTGATCGGTCGCTATCGATTGTTCATTCACATGCTTCTGATGTTTGTTGACTTGCATATGGCGATGGAAGTTCCGACTGCACTTTATTCTGTATAAATTACTAACAGGTATGTATTATATATATACATTTTTGCAATTATCGGTTTCTATTGATTATAGAATTAGAGAATAATATGCACATATTGCATTTTTAGAATGTATTCCCAAAATTACAATATTTGCGTCCAAAATTTAGTGATTTCATTTGGAATCACTAGGTCTAGGCCATGTGCGTATTTTTACGTTTGATATTGCTATTCATTAGTAATTACACGGTTTATTTAGCAAGTTATTTAGTTTCTTCTATCGACATATATCACTTTTGGAGGTGTTAACAATAAAAAGTACAATATAAATTATATATAATCTTGAGTACATACTGTAATATATAGTTATTTAGGTTATTTTTCGTGATATCAGATTAGGATTTGTAGGTAATGAATCAAAATGTAATTATGAATTTTATATCTTTTTTATAGAATATGTTACGTCCTGCGGAAATTGTATGTAGACTGCTTCAATGTGCCTGTGGAAATTCACATGATGAATGACTATGAAGAAGAAGATTTAGATGACACACCCCTCATTGTGAGACTTGCAAGTCAAAATCAAAGCGAGGTACTTATACACGAAGTAAGAAATAAAAGTTGGCGACACAAAAGCATGGAACCAATAGATGTGACCTACAATTCCACATATTCTGAGCCTCCAAATGATGACATCAGCCCATTGAATTACTTCGAAAAATTTATTGATAACAGCATCATTCAAAACCTAGTAGATCAAACAAATTTGTATTCTACACAGAAAACAGGAAAGTCCATCAACACATCAATAATCGAAATGTCACAGTTTCTTGGAGTACACATTTTAGCTGGAGTTGTTCACGTGCCAAAATATAGGATGTACTGGGCTGATACTACCCGTTACGAGCCTATAGCAGGAACTATGCCACGTGATCGATTTTGTAAGTTGAGGAATTATTTGCATGCAAATAATAATGATAACATGGTTCCAAGAGAACATGAAGACTATGATAAATTATTCAAAATCAGACCTTTTGTGGATTCTCTGAGAAATAATTTTCTAAAAATCGAACCAGAAGAGTAGACAATTCAGTAGACGAGATGATGATTCCGCTCAAGTCTCACACATCTATGCTGCAATATATAAAGAGCAAGCCACACCGATGGGGAGTAAAAGTATTTGTACAGGCTGGTGTAAGTGGTATAGTTTATGATTTTGAAATCTATGTAGGGAAGGGGACAAGAGTGAAAGATGGTCCTTTAGGTATGAGTGGCAGTGTAGTCTTGAGGCTTGTAGATGATTTGCCAAAATATCAGAACCACAAATTATTTGTTGATAATTGGTTTGCTTCCTATGACCTGCCTGTGGAACTAAAGAAACTGGGAATATATATGGTGGCAACCCTGAGAAAGAACCGATTGGCGGGGTGCTCTTTGCAAACAGACGCTTCTTTGAAAAAAAGAGGTCGAGGTTCTTATGATTACAGAGTAGAGACGAATGAGAACATCATGTTACTAAAATGGTTTGACAATAAGGCAGTGCACCTTATCTCTTCTTATAAAAGTCAAGAGCCCATTGAAAATGTAAGACGATGGTCAGTTTCTTCTAAGCAATATGTGAATGTCCCTCGGCCTGCAATAGTGAATGAATACAACACTTTTATGGGGGGCGTTGATCTGCACGATATGCTTCTTCAACTCTACCGAACAAACATCAAGGGACGTCGGTTCTACCTCAGAATTATATTTCATCTAATCAACATGGCATGCGTCAATGCATGGCTGTTGTATAGAAGACATTGCAGCCAGAAAAATGAGAAATACCGACCATTGCTTGATTTTGTTTGTGATATTGCAGCAGGTCTTTTGAAGAGGGGTACAACAGAACCAAGAAAGAGAGGGTGTCCAACTGATTCACCAAAGCCAGGACCATCGAAGAAGAGGAGAATGGAAAAATCAACCCGTCCTGTCGCGGATGTATGCTATGATAGTGTAGGCCACTGGCCTCAACACGAACCTGCCAAGTCAAGATGCACATTGTGTATCAAAAGTTACTCTAGGATCAAGTGTGTGAAATGTAATGTTTCACTCTGCCTCAACAAAGAAAAAACTGTTTCAAAGATTTCCACATAACATGACTTGAATGCTATCATGTATCAAAACCAGCAAAGGTTTTCAAATGTTTTGTAATATTTAGATACACATGGTTAGAGTAAAAGGTGAATTAAAGAAAAGTAAAATGAGAATTACAGAAAAGTAAAATGTTTATTTTTTTGCCTTCTCTAGCTGCACCACAATGTCCCAATGATACCATTTGGAACCGTTTCAGAATTTGTAACCCAAATTTTATTTTTATAAATATGTCTGAAATTTTTGTTTAATTGGACCTAAAGACAAAATAACTTGAAAGAAAAAATTATTTCATTTGTAAAAAAAATTCAGGTCAGAAAGGGCTAGGGAAAGAACTGTGGATTGCTGGAGCCTGGATAGGAGGCTGAGAGATACCCAGAATTGGTCTAGACATGTGACAAATGGGGAAATTCCCACTACTGGCTGGGAATTAAACCCTAGCACCCAATTGAACAGGAAGTGGCACAAACTTGGAGTGCAATGACCTCATAGCAGAGTGTGCAACTAGCAAATTGAGGGAAGTGAAAACTTGTGTAGGCTGCATTATCATGGTGGGTACATATTATTTTCCTTTACAGTATATTAATATAATAGTGATTTCAGTATTTTGTAACTGCATAAAAATAAACCTTGTCATCATAAGCATACAGCTGGCTACCAGGGAAATTAAACCTGTACACTATCATTGAAATCCTTTGTTTTTCACCCATATAAAATGTTACTTTATTTTCCTCTGGCCTGCATTCCCCTAGGAGTAGCCTTGGTGATTACAAAACACTAGTACTTGGACATACAAACATCTATGTCAGAATTAAGGGACAAAGCAAACCTTATTCTCATGCTGTGGCCATCTGTTACATAACATTGCAGGCCAACATTTACTCTTCTGGGCTCACTTCTGATATTTCTGGATCTCAGTGCAAGATTGGTACAGATCTGCCAAGATTAACAAATTATAGTTTCTGAGGCATGGGAAAAAATTATGAAATAACGTTAAAAAAATGTTTAATGTGCTCTTAAGATGTGATGAATTGTCATGAATACAATAATATACAATCTTCATACCCACAGTCGAAAAATCAAGAATAGCATTGTGAAAATGAATGATGCCTGTGAAGATGTTCCCAAGTTGGTTTGTCTCAGGATGGCAGCCAACTCAGCTGAAAAAGAAAATTTGTCTTGTGTTCAACTGGCCAAGGTCTAGCATGTGACACAGTTAAATCAGTTATGTACGAGTAATAAGCAAGACTCAACAAATCCCAGGCACAAGGATTCCATGACACCAAAATTCTCTCTTTGACACATTGTATGTCACAGAGTAACATAATTTCTTTCTTGATTCATATAATATATGAACAGTTTTGCAATTCATATTTTATATTTTTAATCCCATTTTCACAGCTGCTGCAATGGGAAGCCTTTGTGTTCAAATTCTCATATTTGTCTGCAGAAGACTATGTAACACTTTGTAAGATTTGAGGCTTTCATGGCGGTGACTATGAAGAAAGCAGTCTTCTGGGATTTGGCACCGTGTATATGTGGTGTTAACCGACGTTTTGGAGGAACGTATCGCCTCCATCTTCAGGGTAGAAGAAAAAATATATAAGAAATCTGCAAGCAAAGAGACCGTGAGAACCGGTCAGTCTGCTTTTACCGGTTCTCACGGTCTCTTTGCTTGCAGATTTCTTATATATTTGTTCTTCTACCCTGAAGATGGAGGCGATACGTTCCTCCGATACGTCGGTTAACACCACATATACACGGTGCCAAATCCCAGAAGACTGCTTTCTTTATGTAACACTTTGCTTGGTATAGCTAATAATTACAGTTTGTTACAGCCATTATGCACATGCATAAACAGGCTTTCTTCAAGACTGATTATTGTAAATTTGTCCAAATACATGCTGAACAATGCCTCTAACATTTGCCTAACAAATTAACATTTGGTTTCCTGCCTATCAGCATTGGAGTTTTTCTTACTTCATTTCCAAGATTCTGAATAGAGTTTCTATGGGAAATTCAAGCACAAGGAAACATTCTTATGAATTTCTTGAGACTGTTCCTAATGGAGTTACATTTTACATAAGATTCCTATAAGACCACCCGATACTCTAATGTAAACTTATCCGTGTCCTATACGCGTGAAAATTAACATGAATCATGGATGAAGACCATAAGAGAATATTAACTTCATCTTACCACCTTTTATATGAGGCAAAGCAACAAACAATGATGGGATTAATGGGAAAGTTGCGCTTTGGCTCAAACAGCAAATAGCAGCATTGTATTAGCAATGTTACAATAAATATTTATAATTGTATTTGGACATACTTTCATATCGTTCTACAAAATTGAAATTTGGTAATTCAGTATGGTAATTGAGTTCAGTCTATTTCTTTATGATTTTTTTAACAATGCTGTCAATAGATAAACCATACAGCATCCAATGGTGGGATGATAGGAAATAATAAATTGGAAAGAATGCAGAATGAAGTGGTTATGGCACAGTTTGAAGTACTAGCCCAGCTTTTGTTTGGAGAAACTGAAGAAAACCACAGAAGGCTTCAGTCAGGATAGCCAGTCTCTGAGCTGAGTGACATGTGAAGAATAAGGCTTTCATCCATGGGAATCCATCCATTTGAACAGAAAATTTCACTATTTTGATAATGCTTAATTCAGTGATAAAATATAGAAACTACACAAAGACTTCAAATATTCATTCCAGCTTACCTCTGATAATGTTATCTTCGGACTTTGTTTCTGTTGGAAGCACATGTTCGTCATATCCAAAGTCTGTAACAGATAAGAATCACTTTCAGGCTCAGACACTGTGTTGGATAATAATCACTTTCATAATACCATACTTGTAATTCATTCATTCATTCATTTATTTGCATTCTGTTAATCCATACAAGGTCAAACCAACCTATGGGATATAGAACCTGTCAAGATACAAATATAATATAAACATAAAATAATGATATATACATACATTCATAAAGAGCACAATAAGGACATAAAGTAAAACACAGTATTGCATAAGAGCAGTGTCACAACACATTTTGATCAAAGACACAAAGCAAAACACAGTATTGCACAACAGTGTCACAAAACACAGTTTGAACAAATACACAATATAATAGTGAAGACAATGAAACATGAATGAATTGAACTTACAGTGGGAAGACCTCCCACAACTAATCAAAATGTACAAAGGGCAAGAAATATAAAAAGAACCATATTCATTAGGAAGTTAATTGGTAATATTCATCAATACTATAGAATGCATGTTCTGTAAGGTAGGTTTTTAATGAAGATTTGAAATGCTTAATATCTTTAGATAGCATTTTAATATTTAATGGTAAGTGGTTATAAATCTTACTTCCAGAAAAGATACTCCTTTTTGTACAGATGATAGATTTGTAGAAGGCAAGTGTAAATTGTGGTTGTAACAAGTATTAATATCATGAATATCAGAATTAGATATAAAGCAAGTGGGAAAGAAGTAAAAGAAGGGAATAGTGGTTTGACAAAATTAAGAAATGGTGGTCAGTGCTATGCAGACTATCAGATATTAATACTGGACACAGGACATGACTTACAGTGATCCCCCATTATGTTAAGCAATGTGGTTGAATTGCATTGTGCTGTTCATGTCTTGATTTTCAAAGTCTGATGGAAATTCTGACATTGAGTAATTTAAGCAACTTCTGTTAGCTAATATGAGTAAGGTGTTACAGCCATAGTCACATGATAGAGTGTGACTATAAATGGGGTTTAGACTGCTTATCGGATTTATTGAAGTCTTATACAATGCAACTACAAATAACTACGACAGTTTCAGTGAGTTACACAATCCAAAGATCACTGTAACCGAAGCGCACATTAAGTCTTCGCAATCTTCCCTAGCTGTTGTTCGATAGTGGCTTTCAACAGCGGACATTCCCCTTCCGCTGGGTTCCCAAACTGCACCCCGCCTCAGTTCCCAGCTTCTAACACAACAGCTCACAACAACTGAACCCCAGCAGTTATCTGACTGACTCGCTTACCAACCAAATTGCTCCACTCTACACGTTGTTCCTCCGTAGTATTGACGTCTGTTGGGTTGCCCACATGATAGCTACTCAGCCATTACCTAGCAACGCCCATTGTTTACAGAGTCATTACTTAGCAACAGCTGTTGTATAGTTTCTTATATTGCAGTCGTTGCCTAGCAACAGGTCTACATGCCACTATATATACATACATACACAGTGTGTCCATGTTCTGTTAGGACTGTGTTCAATGTGAATTATTTTCAAAATTTCACTCTTTTTATTCAAAACAGTCTCCTGAATCAATACATAACTGGATTAGATTGAAAAGTTTTTGAAAACAGTCAGTATACTCCTTTTGTGGAATCGCATTTAAAACTGCTGTACATTCCCTTTGGATGTCCTGGATGGTGTCGTGATGGTCTCCTTTCATAGCCAACTTAACTTCTGGGAATAACCAGAAATCTACTGGAGCCAAATCTGGAGAATATGGAGGATGATGAAGGACTGTGATCCCATTTCTGGCCAAAAAATCGCGCACGATCTTCGATTTGTGGGGTGGGGCATTGTTGTGGAGGAGCGACCAGAAGCCTTGCTCTTGATATTCAGGTCGAATTCGAAGAATTCTCGCCCACAAACGGCTGAGGACTCTGAGATAATAATCAGAATTCACTGTTCGACTTTCTGGCAGAAATTCCTTGTGAATGATTCCTTTGGAATCGAAGAAAATGGTTAGCAGTGTTTTGCATGCGCACTTTCTTTGGTTTCGGCTTCTTTGGGCTCAACCACGCTTCACTCTGCCTCTTTATGAGTGGCTCATATTGAAAACACCATGTCTCATCGCCAGTAACAATCGATTTTGTAAATTTTGTATCACTTTGGGCCGACCGTAACATGTCTTTGCAGTGTTCCATCTGGCATGTTTTTCGTCGCCTGACAGTGCGTGCGGTACAAACTGCACACAGACCTTCCGTTTGCCCAAATCCTCGGTCAGAATTTGATGCACAGTACTTTTTGGTATTCCCAAAAGCTCCTCGATGAGTCTTGCAGAAACACATCTGTCTGATGCAAGGATTTCTGTCACTTTTTTCACATTTTCTTCACTGCGACTTGTTCTCGGCTTTGATGCATGTATAGTACCTTCAATGTCCTCCCTGTCGTCACGAAATACAGGATACCATCAAAAAATGTTCAAGTGACACAACTCAAACAATCACTACCATACACACTTTTCATCATTTTGTACACCAATTCTGTTGGTGAGTTGTAGCGTTAAGATTCTTGAAGTTTCAGCTGTGGCTGCCTATAATTTCAAAGCGCAAGCATCGCTGCATCATGCATTCTGACCGTGAATGTAACAGTACTGTTCTGACGCTCATCGGGAAATGGCAGTTGAACAGAGAGCCAACACCAAATTTTGTTTGAAGTTAGGCAAAACAGCCAGAGAAGCATACGAAATGATGAAAAGTGTGTACGGTAGTGATTGAGTCACTCGAACATTTTTCGATGGTATGCTGTATTTCGTGATGGCAGGGAAGACGTTGAAGACACTCCATGTCCATCAAAGCTGAGAACAAGTCGCACTGAAGAGCGAATTCTTTGAATTCGACCTGAATATCGAGAGCAAGGTTCCTGGTCGCTCCTCCACGGCAGTTCTCCACCCCACAAATCGAAGCTCATGCGTGATATTTTGACCAGAAAAAGGATGACAGTCCTTGATCATCCTCTGTATTCACCAGATTTGGCTCCAGCAGATTTCTGGTTGTTCCCAAAAGTTAAGTTGGCTATGAAAGGAGACCATCACGACACCATCCAGGATATCCAAAGGGAATGTGCAGCAGTTTCAAATGCGATTCCACAAAAGGAGTACAGTGACTGTTTTCGACAACTTTTCAATTTGATTCAGAAGGAAACTATTTTGAATAAAAACAGTGAAATTTTGAAAATAATTCACGTCTTGTGAACACAGTCCTAACAGAACCTGGACACACCGTGTATATATCCCATTTCCCTACTGCCCAGCTTCCTGCACAAGATTTCATGTTTGTGTGAAAGAATGGAGAATTATGTCTTTTGGAATATAACACCATAAAGTACAGTGGAAGTCCACTGATATTTTGAATAAACATATTGCCCCCATCAAGCAGTGCAAGCTGCATGCAGAAAGACACAGGATTATATAGACCAGGAGAGAATTAGCAACCCAGCCAGTCTACTCCCATGGGCTCTCTGAGAAAAACAGAGTGAACCAATGGGAACGGTTGGGTTGGCTTGCAAGTTCCTTCCTGGAGTTTACGATTCTTTCTTTCTCCATGCATGCTCTACTTGCTGCCTACTTCAGGCCAGTTTTTTGCTTGGCCTACTCTTCAACCATGAAGATGGAGGTTATATGTTCAGCTGACTCATCATACTATATGGCTTTTCATCCCTGAAGACAGAACTCTCCTTATCCACTGATGTGAGAACCTCAAATCCTATATGTGAAGAATGATGGTACATATACAAATTTTTCTTCTGTTTAGTTAAGTCTCTGGTGACTGGTGGTTTTTGAATAATGTTATAAAACTTAAGAAGACTAAACAATCCAAGAGCTGGAATCAAAACTATTTATGAGAATTTATAGGTTGTCACTGAACATCTAGTTTGTGTTGGCTGTGAGTAAAGCACTTAAGTTTCAAGGGCAAGGGAAGCAACAACCGAGGTTTCTTCTGGAAGTTCGTATTGGAAATTAGTAAACAACTGCAATTAGAAATATTTTTCTGTTTGAATTACTACAAATAAATAGATTGTTAAAGAAAATCCCAGGGTAGTGCCTCAAATTAGGCCATGTCTGCTCCTTTTCACATCCTTTCCAGTTCATTATTTACTAATCAGCCCGCCATTGAACTCTGCATGTTTTGAGCTGTTTAAAGCATTGTTAAATACAGTGACTAAATAAATAAATGGGGGAACAGTGGTATTCATGCACTTAGTTATTCTCACCAGCTCCCTCGGTGCCAAACCTCAGTATTGCCGATGGCTTGCTCCAGCCAAACCTGTTTCTTGAAAGAATCATTGCTTCATACACAGTAGCAATAGAGAGGCCAGTGAGAGTGTAAGACTTGCTGTGAATAGGTCCTGGAGAAGAGCTGTCTGCTGGAATGATCAACTTTGTCCACTCATGTCCTTTTGTATGTGGCTACAAGGGGCAAAATTATGGTATCAATAGAAGAATTAGAACAACAGACTGACTAGTGTTATAGTAACTCATGACACACCACATCATCTAATATACATTGCTGTAAAGTTATGTGTATATGTATGACATTTGCATAGCATATTTTAATGTTAGTTTTCATACTTTGTTGTATCTTTCATTTAAATGATTTATTGCAGTATACTATATTGCAGTACACAGAACACTTTTACAGATTAACAGCAATTTTAGAATGAGTAATAGATGTCAAGAGTACTGGTTTGTATGCTAAGTCCTTGATGCTCCTTGATTATTCACGTTAACAATGTTATGTAAACAGAAAGAAATATAAAGTTTTAACAATACTCTTAGGCATAGTGCTAATTTCAGTGTTCAGTTAGACATAACACATGTGGCAGCTAAGGATGTAGGGAGCTAAATAATTCATTGGTTTTACCTTGTAAGCTCCTGATATTTTGGTGATAATTCTCTTAATATATATCACCAAAATATCAGGAGCTTACAAGGTAAAACCAATGATTAATTAGCTACCTACATCCTGAGCTGCCGCATGTGTTATGCCTAACTGAACACCACTTACATTATAATGATCTGGGCTGTACTTTTATAGAACATCATAAATTCAGTGCTGCTTATTGTAGGAAAAATTTTAAATTAGGTGGATCAGGCATATTTGTACAAGAAAAACTAAAATTTTTAGATGTCAATTTAAGTGCCTTTTGTAAAGATAAAGACCTTGAAGTTTGTGCAGTGAAATTTCCTTTTCTGCATGGTAATATTTGTGTTCTATCTATTTACAGAGCACCATCCAGTAACTTTGCTTATCTTCTGAAGGGACTTCATTTCATTCCATTTCATTCTTTATTTTTCCATATATATCCATAGAGGTTAACAAACCAGGATGTGGAAATAGTCCTTTTGAATACAGATACATCAACATGCATATACAAAATTGCACGAGTCAATAAAGCAAAGATACTTACATCAATCTATAAATATAAATAATATTATAGGGCAAAAGAATTTAATAAGATTTCATTTAATACACATACTTAAAAAATAACCTACTATAAAACTTGTATTTACACCACTTCATATAAAATACTATTAACTAAAACAAATACAGTCAAAAATTACCCACCTAAGACACATTATATTTATAATATCAGCATCATGTTTAACTCAATATATCCATACAGTATAGACTTCAAAACGCATTTAATACTGTTAAAATTTTAAATTTTTTGCGCGATACTAAGTTGGAATTGATAATATGTGATGATATCAATATAAATTACTTAATTGATAGTAATAACAAGAAACAATTGGATGTTCTATTATCTTCTTTTAACCTTTTTAGTATAGTAGATTTTCCTACTAGGATGCAAACCAACTCAGGCTCTGCTATTGATAATATTTTTATTGATCTTCACAGACACGGAAATTATACTATATATCTCCTCATGTTAACAGACTGTCTGACCATGACGCCCAGATCTTATATATGAATAACACTGTGTNCACTGTATTACATAACCGAAATAGCTGTAGGCATTTTGTGAGGAAATTCAGTAAAGCTTCTAGAAATGAGTTCTTGACTCAATTAAGTTATGAAACTTGGGATAACGTATTTGTTGATCAGGATATTGATTCAATTTTCAACTAATTTCTTAATACTTATTTAAAAATATTTAATTTTAGCTTCCCTAAAATATTAGTTATGAATAATATGAAATATAACCCTTGGATGATGAGGGGCATAAAGACCTCATGTCAACATAAAAGAGAGCTCTGTTTGTCCATGAAGACCAGTAATGATCCAAACCTTAAATCCTATTTTAAAACTTACTTGAAAATTCTGTCTAATGTCATTAGGACAGCCAAAAATCTTTATTATAATGGATCAATTTTGAACTCTAACAATAAAATTAAAACCACATGGAATATTATTAAAATTGTTACTGGTAAGAGAATCAATAATTCTGAAGTGCAGTTCTTAAATACTGAAGGGAAGCTAACTGATAGTCACAAGTTAATTGCCGATTCTTTCAATAAATACTTTCTGACTATAGTAGATAAAATTAACAGCAATAATGCTAAGAGTGATCATTTTATAGAGTTTGATATTGATAAACATTGGAGTTATATATCTCAGGCTTTTCCGACTCCTTTCCCTGAAATTAAACTTAAACCTACATCTGCTAAAGAAATTGAAAACATAATTAAGTCATTAAAACCCAAAAATTCTAACGGGTATGATGAAATTTCGGTCAATATTCTAAAAACTAGCGCACCTGCTATTATTTCTCCTTTAACTTACATCTGTAACAGAGTACTTTCAATGGGTGTTTTCCTCAGTCATTTGAAATACTCTGAAATAATACCATTATTTAAAAATGGGTTGTAAAACGAATATAATGAATTATAGACCTATATCATTACTTATATCCTTTTCAAAAGTTATTGAAAAGGTTATATTTGTAAGATTGCTCCATCACATAAAGGATAACAGTATATTATCCAATCACCAATATGGTTTCAGATGTGACTCATCTGCAGAACTCGCTTCATATAATTTAATTAATGAAATATTAAAGGCCTTGAATAATAAAATACCAGTTGGAGGCATTTTTGTGACCTAAATAAAGCCTTTGATTGTGTTAATAATGATGTTCTATTATCTAAATTGAAGTTTTATTGAATAGTAGGAAAAGCTAATGCGTTACTGGGATCCTACCTTCATGGTAGACATCAAAGAGTTGTAAGTAATAAGAAGTGCACTCACCCAAGTTGGGGTAAGATTGTCAATGGTGTTCCCCAGGGATCAATCTTAGGTCCCTTATTAATGATCTGCCAAATATTATAAAGAGTAAATCAATACCTATTCTCTTCACGGATGTTACCAATATTATTGTTAAGAACTCTAATCACATTGAGCATGAAATCGAAATAAATTTAATATTCAAAAATATAAATGAATGGTTCAAGGCTAACTTACTGACACTGAATCTCGATAAAACGCATTTTATGCATATCTCAACCAAGAATAGTAATACAATGGACATACCTGTCATTTATAGTAACAGTCAAATTGCTACAACCGCTGATATTAAGTTCCTCGGTCTGATGACTGATAATACCCTATCATGGAAAGGACACATTGATTGGCTCATGTCCAAACTGGGTTCAGCTTTCTTTGCAGTTTGGGCTATTAACCCCTATGTCATTAGAATCAATGAGATCAGTATATTTTTCATATTTTAATTGTATTATGACAAATGGCCTGATTTTCTGGGGTAATTCACCCCTCTGCATTCATATCTTTAGACTATAGAAGAGGGTAATAAGAGTCATCACCAATTCTAGAAGTAGAGATTCTTGTATGGAGTTGTTTAAGAAATTAAAGATTCTTCCCCTTTACTCAGGACATTTTTTCCATTTTGTTATTTGTGGTCAAAAACAAAGCTCTATTTTTATCTAATTCTGAGATTCATACAGTCAACACAAGACATAGTAATTACCTCCAATATCCATCATGTAACTTAACTGTCTTTCAAAAGGGAACATATTACTTCGGAATTAAAATTTTTAATAAACTTCTACGTAATATAAAAGACCAAGCTCATGAGATTGACAAATTTAGGTCTGCTGTTAAAATATTCCTATTTTTAAATTTATTTTATTCATTGGACGAATATTTTAAATGTAACAACAATTAAAGTTTCGGATTTGTTACAGGTGGTAGTTGATAGCACTTTATTGTTATAGATGATGGTTGTTGTTCATATTGTATATTGTTAATATTTTTAACTAGTGTGACATTACACAATTGTGATGCAGTATGTGATGTTTACTCATCTTGACTATTTCTGTATCCATTGATGTTTAACCATGTAAGGATTTATGGAATGCTGAACGAATGAATGTAATTTTCTCTTTAAACTCTTCTTTTAGTTCTACAAAAAGCTAAATTTTATCTCTCCATAGTGGAAGAATTTGATCAATTAAAAATGGTATTATCCATGAACTTGCAGGAATGAAGATATACACGTAGTGTATGTGTACGTTCATTGTGTCCTTGCCTTACTTACAGAATATCTCTGGAATAGTAGATTATACTCTATGATGGAGGAGTAGCTGTCCACTTCCCAGATCAGAGTGTAGTTTGTTTCAGAAGGAACACCTGACTCATTCTTAAAAATTGCTGGATTTGCAACACCTGAAATTGTGTTGTTCTTATTAGTGCCTAATCATTTAATATGGTACTTTTGCCCATCCTTACATTAAATAACAAACACTGCCATTTATAAAAAAAAGTAAACCAATTTCCCACCTATTGCACATGTCAAGAAAAAGATGTCTCCTGGATGTATATGTCCAAGGAAAATTTAATCATGTTGTCCGGTTTCCTTAGGACTTCAAGCTCTTTGTTTTAGAGTTTTGCTGCTAGTGATAAAGTTACAGTTACATCCAATATATAACTTTAAATTATCATTTGATTAGGTCTCACTTATAAACATGACAGTGTTTTGCATCCCATCTCTTTGTTTACTTTTTAATTGTTTTATTATTCACTTCTTTCACACTCTGCTGCAACATTTATCCAGAGTGTTGTATCTTTCATATTGTGGATTGTGACACAACATAGTCTCATAAATTGCACCACCATTTTCCAACATTTAACCTCCACAGACCACCTGAGCAGCCCTACCTGGCACTGGGGACTGTCTTGTTTTCTATACTTATCTACTTACATTATCTGTGCTTAAAAATAGTTCCAAATTTGTGTAATTTATTTATCCACTTCCTAATATACTGTGGTATACAAATTTTGTTTGATTGAGTCACCAGCTGCAGTGCGATATCACTTTGTGACTGAAAGGTAAAAAATTTAAGATGCATTTTCAAGGACTATGGTCAATACAAATTTTCACAGACCACACACAAAAACTTCATGGACTATGAATGGTTTGAAGACCATACATTGTAAAACAGTGAACTACATAATGTCATTACCCAGACAAAATGTTGTATGAATCTTCACCATCATGGAAGCCTCAAACCTTAAAAATCATATCCTGTTACCATCTTTTTTTTTTTGTTTGCTATTATTTTACTGCATCATGTCTCTCTCATATGTAATGTGGTATGTACATTTCTGCTATTTATTGTGCATGATCAAANTACCTCCAATATCCATCATGTAACTTAACTGTCTTTCAAAAGGGAACATATTACTTCGGAATTAAAATTTTTAATAAACTTCTACGTAATATAAAAGACCAAGCTCATGAGATTGACAAATTTAGGTCTGCTGTTAAAATATTCCTATTTTTAAATTTATTTTATTCATTGGACGAATATTTTAAATGTAACAACAATTAAAGTTTCGGATTTGTTACAGGTGGTAGTTGATAGCACTTTATTGTTATAGATGATGGTTGTTGTTCATATTGTATATTGTTAATATTTTTAACTAGTGTGACATTACACAATTGTGATGCAGTATGTGATGTTTACTCATCTTGACTATTTCTGTATCCATTGATGTTTAACCATGTAAGGATTTATGGAATGCTGAACGAATGAATGTAATTTTCTCTTTAAACTCTTCTTTTAGTTCTACAAAAAGCTAAATTTTATCTCTCCATAGTGGAAGAATTTGATCAATTAAAAATGGTATTATCCATGAACTTGCAGGAATGAAGATATACACGTAGTGTATGTGTACGTTCATTGTGTCCTTGCCTTACTTACAGAATATCTCTGGAATAGTAGATTATACTCTATGATGGAGGAGTAGCTGTCCACTTCCCAGATCAGAGTGTAGTTTGTTTCAGAAGGAACACCTGACTCATTCTTAAAAATTGCTGGATTTGCAACACCTGAAATTGTGTTGTTCTTATTAGTGCCTAATCATTTAATATGGTACTTTTGCCCATCCTTACATTAAATAACAAACACTGCCATTTATAAAAAAAAGTAAACCAATTTCCCACCTATTGCACATGTCAAGAAAAAGATGTCTCCTGGATGTATATGTCCAAGGAAAATTTAATCATGTTGTCCGGTTTCCTTAGGACTTCAAGCTCTTTGTTTTAGAGTTTTGCTGCTAGTGATAAAGTTACAGTTACATCCAATATATAACTTTAAATTATCATTTGATTAGGTCTCACTTATAAACATGACAGTGTTTTGCATCCCATCTCTTTGTTTACTTTTTAATTGTTTTATTATTCACTTCTTTCACACTCTGCTGCAACATTTATCCAGAGTGTTGTATCTTTCATATTGTGGATTGTGACACAACATAGTCTCATAAATTGCACCACCATTTTCCAACATTTAACCTCCACAGACCACCTGAGCAGCCCTACCTGGCACTGGGGACTGTCTTGTTTTCTATACTTATCTACTTACATTATCTGTGCTTAAAAATAGTTCCAAATTTGTGTAATTTATTTATCCACTTCCTAATATACTGTGGTATACAAATTTTGTTTGATTGAGTCACCAGCTGCAGTGCGATATCACTTTGTGACTGAAAGGTAAAAAATTTAAGATGCATTTTCAAGGACTATGGTCAATACAAATTTTCACAGACCACACACAAAAACTTCATGGACTATGAATGGTTTGAAGACCATACATTGTAAAACAGTGAACTACATAATGTCATTACCCAGACAAAATGTTGTATGAATCTTCACCATCATGGAAGCCTCAAACCTTAAAAATCATATCCTGTTACCATCTTTTTTTTTTTGTTTGCTATTATTTTACTGCATCATGTCTCTCTCATATGTAATGTGGTATGTACATTTCTGCTATTTATTGTGCATGATCAAATTTATCAGTGATGACTGATTTAATTTTATATGCACAAATCCAACATCATATCGTGACATGACAGCTGAAAGCCGAAATGGTGGAGCTGGAGCAGATGTCCATTCCTGAGAAACAGATCAGTAACCACATTCCCACTACAACAAATAGGAGAACAACATTGCCAGGTGGCAAGTTGCTAAACAAGAGATGTTCAATAGCAACAGATAACACAGAATAACAGAGGAACACTTGGAGACATTTTGTGACAAAGGATGACACAGCGAATAACAGAGGAACTGTTAACTGTTCAAGACAGTGACTTGTATTCGGTCAGCATAGCAGTTATAAAAGGAGTGATTCATGAATTCCACAACTTTAACTTTGACTTTGACTTGTGGAGTTGGAGTCAAATACCTCCACCATAGCCCTGCGAGTCACAGGAGGTGACAAAAATGGAAGTCTCAAATATGAAGCAGGAAAATATGGTCACAAGTCCTACAGGACTCGAACTCAAGAATTACTGCACTGATGAGGGCCAGCAGCAATTATAAACAACAAACCCATCCTCTTGTCAGAGAGACCATCCCACATCAACAAACCTGCAACTGTCTGGCAGTAATAAAAATCTGGTCATCAGCCCCAGCTAGGTGCTTTATTCCAAAACAGATTGGTTGACTGACCCTCAGTTGTAACATAGGACTCTACTCCAGGTGGACTAGAGCTCAGTCAGAGATACATGAGAGATTCATCAGACAGACATCTTGCAGAAGGAGCTCAATGTATGAGCTGTTATAACTGACTGTAATAGTAAAGATGTGCCAATAAACCCAATCATCAAATCCAGAATACATTATTATTAGTCATGCTAACCCCAATACATGACAATGTGAAGCTGATAGCTTACCATCATAAATTGGCAACAGAAGTGTACTACATACTATTATGAATTTTACCAAACTGTATGAGATTTGAGGTTCCAATGGCAATGTGAATGAAGAGTGCCATGTTTCAGGATGAGGCATGAGTGCTAACCTGACAGTTGTATGATTTTTTCGTTGACACCAAGCTCGTTCATGGCTCGACATTTGAAATAACCAAAGTCCAGTGGATGGACAGTGCGTAATAGAAGAGTGTACTTGTTTTTTGTTGACAGCTCTACTACACGTGTACTGGTAATCACTGGAACATCATTTTTCAGCCATATCACCTGGAATCATGAATATTGAAATATCTGCATGGCACTGACTGGTTCAGTTAATTATCAAGTTAATGAATAATTAAGGATATTGCAAGATTAAGAACAAATTAAATCTCAGAACTATTTATTACCATTCATTTAAGACTCTGCTCTCTTCCTTATCACATCCAGATACATGCCTAGTGCTTAAAAAATATATAACTATCATTTTATATACACGGTGTGTCCAGGATCTGTTAGGACTCATTTTTTTAAATTTTTCCCTGCAATGCCATCTGTTGGTGAGTTCTGGCGTTTAGATTCTTGAAGTTTCAGCTGTGGCTGTCTATAATTTCAAAGCGCAAGCATCGCTGCATCATGTGTTCTGACCTTGAATGTAACAGTACTGATCTGATGCTCATCGGGAAATGGCAGTTGAACAGAGAGCCAACATAAAATTTTGTTTGAAGTTAGGCAAAACAGCCGGAGAACCATACGAAATGATGAAAAGTGAGTATGGTAGTGACTGTTTGAGTCGCTCGAACATTTTTCGATGACTTGCTGTATTTTGTGACAGCAGGGAGGGCATTGAAGACGCTCAATGTGCATCAAAGCCGAGAACAGGTCGCACTGAAGAAAATGTGAAAAAAGTGACCGAAATCCTTACATCAGACAGATGTGTTTCTGCAAGACTCATCGAAGAGCTTTTGGGAATACCAGACAGTACTGTGCATCAAATTTTGACTTGAGGATTTGGGCAAACGGAACGTCTGTGCACGGTTTGTCCCACACGTGCTGTCAGGCGATGAAAAACATGCCAGAGTGGAACACTGCAAAGACATGTTACGGTTGGCCCAAAGTGATACAAAATTTACAAAATCGATTGGTACTGGTGAGGAGACATGGTGTTTTCAATATGAACCTCTCACAAAGTGGCAGAGTGCAGCACAGTTGAGCCCAAAGAAGCCGAAACCAAAGAAAGTGTGCATGCAAAAGAGTCGAGTAAAGACACTGCTAACCGTTTTCTTCGATTCCAAAGGAATCATTCACAAGGAATTTCTGCCAGAAGGTCAAACAGTGAATTCTGATTATTACCTTGGAGTCCTCAATCGTATGTGGGCGAGAATTCTTCAAATTCGACCTGAATATAGAGAGAAAGGTTCCTGGTCACTCCTCCATCACAATGCACCACCCCACAAATCAAAGATCATGCATGATTTTTTGGCCAGAAAAAGGATCATAGTCCTTGATCATCCTCGGTATTTGCCAGACTTGGCTCCAGCAGATTTCTGGTTGTTCCCAAAAGTTAAGCTGGCTATGAAAGGGACCATCATGACACCAAGGACATCCAAAGGGAATCTACAGCAGTTTTAAATGTGAATCCACAAAAGGAGTACAGTGACTGTTTTCAAAAACTTTTCAATCAATTCCAGCTATGTATAGATTCAGAAGGAGACTATTTTGAATAAAAAGAGTGAAATTATGAAAATAATTCACGTCTTGTATTTTTAATGAACACAATCCTAACAGAACCTGGACAAACTGTGTAGGTATGAAATTTGATTTTGATATAAATGAAGAACATAGATTTAACTACTGTCCTGTTACTTTACATGATCTCTGATCTGACACCACTCTTTCTTTGCTCTGCACAGTTTCATCTTCTGTAGGCAGAATATAACAAATGATGCTCACCAAATTATACTCTTCACACTTGACTTCCATTATATGCAGCTGTTAGCAAGCTAATCCGCACACTTCCTGAAAGTGGACTTAACCAAATTTTTAGGACAACCAAAACTAATTCTATTCCAAACTTAGGACATACATAAATACTGCAGCACAGAAAAGCCAACCAAATGAGAGAGGTCACACTAACCTTAGCATCAGGATCAGCAAGGACATTACATACTAATTCTGATCTGATGCCTGGAGCAGCATGAACCCATGGCCTTTCTACTTCTATCTCAGGAGGAACTGAAAATGTAATATTACAACATTAATTTTTCTACTATGAAAGAGAGGAAATACATAGGTTGGATAAAAAGTAGTGGCAGCACCTCCATAGTTCTGAAATGACTTTATTACCTGAGGTAAACACACTTACATTCCTTCAATATAATCGCCCCCCATGTGTACCACCTTCTGCCAAATTTGTGGAAGGCATCGTACACCATCAGTGCATCCACTTCTGTTGATGTCCAGCAGTGACCGCCCTACAGCATGAATAATCTCCTCTCTTGTGTTGTAACATAACCCTTGCACTGGTTTTTTCTTTATGGCAAAGATATCATAATCGCATGGACTCATATCAGGTGGTATGGCGGATGTTGCAGTATCTCCCATCGCCAGTGGCAAAGGAGATCCTTGACAGCGTCAGCAGTATGAGCCCTTGAATTGTCATGAAGGATGATGGGGTTCGTTGCCAACAAGTGTCGTCGCTTTCCCCTGAGTGCTGGACGAAGATGACTACACATGAAATTGCAGTAGTAGGCAGCGTTTACTGTCTGTCATTGAGGTACAGTGTGGTGCAGTATCACTCCATCAGTGTCATATACCACAATGAACATTGCCTTCACATTACTCTGTGTAGGGCGCACTTTCTTTGGATGAGGAGAGCCAGGATTCTTCCATTCATTTGATTTTCACTTTGAGTGCGGTTCGTATGAGCGAGCCCAAGTTTCGTCCAGAGTGTCGATCCTTCCAAGGAAGTTGTCACCTTCCTTCTGGTACTGGTCCAACAAGTCCTGTGTATTTGCATAATGTTACCATTGTTGCACCCCAGACATTGTATGGGGTAACAAACACACTGCAATTTTGCGGTATCCAAGAATATCATGAAGAATGTGGAACACGGTTTCGTGACATATGCCTACCTCAGCAGCTAACTACCACACAGGCCATCGACGATCGGCATCCAGCAAAGAAGCAAGAAGCTGAATTGTTTGGTTGTCAACATGGGTTCATCCTGAATGACATCCCTCCCTTCACAGAACAATTTCACCCACCGTGCCACTGTGCAATATGGCAAAGCAGCATCACCACATGCTTTTCACAGTCCCTGATAACAGTTTTGTGCACTACGACCACGTGCAACTTCAGTTTTTATCCAGGAGCATTGTTCTTGTTTCGTAAACCTGTTCTTAAGGCACTTGAACTGGGCTCCTGCACTTCAAGACGATGCGCAATGCAACTCAATGAAACAACCAGAGCCACTCACTGCACTACTTCAACTGAACTTCTGCTATCAGCTACAGATGGCGCTAGTGCCACCTGATGCACATCTTTCATGTTACAGCAGTGTTGCTACTACTTCTTATCCAACCCTTGTATTTTCACTGTAAATGCATTATTTAAAGTCGTGAAGGACAGTGTTAACTCACTTCATGCTAAGAATGAGATACATTGCCGTGAAATTAGGTCATTCTGACTAAGAATTATCCTTGTGTCTCTTGCTGCGATACCATTTTGCAACTTTCTAAAAATTGAGTTTATAGCTTGCAATGGAAATATATATAAAAAAGCTGTGTAAAAACAGAAGCATTGAAAGTGTTAGGTTCTGTGAAGATTTGAACCTGACTTAACTGGCTATGAATATGTTTCAGTATTGGATATTTGTGATGACAGTGATAAACCTTCAGATCCCCTAGTGACAGAGATAACCTTGACTACTATACTTTTTTTGAGGAATATCATGCTCATTTTACATGTTCTAGTCCATAGGATTTTGTGACTGATGCTAAATGTGTGGCTGTGACTTGTATAAATATGCCAGTGTCAGAGGTTTTACAGCATTATGGCAAACATTGCTGTCTTCATCTTCAGGGTTAATGGGCTTTGGGAGTGTTTGACAGCACTTACATAGATATTGCATTAGGAACTGTGTTGAAGGTGAAGCTGTGATCGGATGTTATGAGCCCTTTACGCATAGTGCATAAAACTGATGCATAATATTCATCTGAAACTCCTCAACAGATTTAAATAAAATTTTGAATTGGGATTTCTAGTAAAAGTTGTTGGTAGGTGGTTTTAATTTTGGTCAGCCTTTGCCCAGTATAACCCCTACTTTTCATGAAGTTCATATACAACTTTTATCATTTTCTCAAAAAATTGTTCAGCATGATGAAAATTAGTGTATAATATAGGTACAATATATATCTTTTTAAACTCTCTCATTTATCAGTATAGCCAGTATGTAAAGGACTAGAAAGAAAAATTATTTGTGACACTGTTCAACATGAAATCTGTGTTGTGATTAGCTTTGCAGCAATATATTTGTGTCTGCAATAAACGAACATCAAGGCCAGTAGAGTGCAGATTCCAAAGAATTCATTTTTAAAATATATATCACTCTTGTTATAATTAGATGTTGTTTATGTTAACTTTAGAATATTTTTTAGAATATTTTGCATGAATTCACATTCATATGTTAGTATCAGCATCACTTTTAGTTGACATACACTTTCTTAAAACTGTACTCACAGAGTATTCTGAGCTGTATAGTAGCTGTTGCAGGACTGCCAACCCCATTGATAGCTATACATTGGTATAATCCAGCCAAATGCCTAGTATGTGCTTGAAACCGCAAAATAGGACGGTTGTCCAAAAGCTGCATCTCTTCACCCTGCAGATACAAACAACTTTCTCTATCAATGTTTCCATTGTTTTTCTGCTCCCCCTCCCCCCCCCAAAAAAACACACACACACACAACCTTATTCAAGCTTCAGGCATTTTTCCCAGCAACAAATTCTTCTCACTGATAGTTATGTTATTATTGATAGTAATAAGTCCTGGACAGAAGAGAGGTAACGATTATTTTCCTTTTTGTTTTGTGGTTATGAAATTTGTTCCCTTACTCTAGAAGCATAACATAAATTTTCTGTGTGTTACTGCTTTTACGATGTATATATGAATGAATGTATGAGGGGTAGGCCTTCTCGCCCTTGCACCACGACCTACAGTGATCTATTGTGCTTGCTTTTAAGATATGCTAAAGAAAATATTTGGACATAACATGAATACAAGAAAGGAAATATTGTTAGAAGCTTTACTAAAGAAGTCTATGATGTATTGGGCTTCTAACTTTCATGGAAGAAAATAAGAGCTGCATAATATGAGGAAGAGTCAGTATATAGGTCATAAATGGATATAAATCGCAAAACACGTGATATTCAAACCTGGAAAAAACATTTATTTCTCGACATATTCTCTGCCAACATTGATACCCATGTCTCACTGCTTTCCAAGTGTGTTGAAACCCGCAGCATAACAGTCTTCTGACTGTTCTCTCAGTCACTTTTGCACCTCCGTTGCGATTGCATTGCAGCGCACTGTGATTCATGTTGGCAGTGATGCACCCATGATTTGTCCCCAGTAACAGGCCTGTTAAGCATATCTTCTACTTCATCTGCATTCCATAAGAGATGTTGCAAGGACAGACTCCTTTGGTTCATTTGTCATCAATCCTTCAGTTCTCTGGGCACACTTTCCAAAACTTTTAACAGTTGTGCATTATGCTGTATGCCATGGAAACACCATAGTGTAGTTGCTACACTGTCTGTCATTATCCTCCTCTCAGCTTGAACTCAACTCTTCCATCCACTGCACAGTTGCTCCTGTTTCAATCTCAACATGGCGACCTGGTCAGGAATCATCTGCGACTTTCAAATGTCCTGAGAGAATTTCTCAGCCCAGCTGTGAACCACTTTATGCGACAGACACTTCCTACCTTAAAGTCAAAGTCACATTGCGACTGACAGACAGTCAGTCAATCAGTCTATCTTGGTGTCAAGCCCCATCTGGATCACCCTCTCTGATGAGAGGATAGGTCTGCTCTTTGTCAGAGTCACTGTCAGCAATATTAAGTCAGTTGTCAGTATGTACATGATACTTAAATTTCATATGTTACTAAATACACACACACGCACAAGCACATGCACACTCCCCACCCACCCCCCACCCCCAATAAATACAAGGCTTCTGTTAGTCCAGGCTCAGTACAGGAGATCATGCCCTATCTGTAGTAGCTTCTGCTACAACAGCAATCTAGTCACTTAAACCGTCATATGCTTGACCGCCACCAAGTTTAAGCCTCTTATATTTCCTATGTTGGGCTTTGCCTTGTCCAATGTTGCAGATATCTGCATTTTCATGATTTTGTATGACTTCTGTTTGTTGCCTGCATAGTTTTCTTATATAATCATATATGTATGGAAGTTTGAAAGCCATGTGCAAATCACGAACCAGTCCACAACTTGGAAAGTTTTCTGCTGCCATAAACAGGAAATAACTACCTACCTACCACTCAGCACTACAGCCCTGGGTGAGCCTTGGCCTCCTGTACAACCAGTCTCCACATCCAGTGCATGCTGCCATAGTAATGGACCCATGGTGACCCAAGGCTGGTTGTTGGGTTTCTGATCAAAATTGTTTTTACACAAAGTTGTTAGCCTCATGCCCAATGCCCGGCCTGGAGGACCAGGGTATCTCTCTTAGTCTAGACTCTACCCTTTAACCTTTCCAGCATGGGTGACCCTACTGGTAGTTAAACTACCGTCGACATAGCTCTCCAGGTCACAAAGTCACACAAGCCCCACCACCATGAAAAGGTGGAGACACCTTTGGCAGCATAAACAGGAAATATTTTTTTATTAATATTATGGGAGCCTACCACAACACTAGCCAATCAGCATGGACTACATCAGCACCAACGCCCATTGGGTCAGGCGCCGTTAGGGACAGCGAATTAAGATACGGACCTCTAACATGCTAGGCAGTCAGATGGAGCTACTCTTACCTCGAGACAGCTCATCTGGAGCACACACAGAATAGTGAGTCTCCTAGCAACAACACCTGCAGCCGACTCTAAGAGTGGTTGCCTAGACCCAATGGAAAGTCCACCACCAACACTTACCACTCTACAGCCTGCCTGAAGTCACCTGGCTGCCAATGCAAGGAAGACCGCTGTCCCTACCACAAACCAGCCCCCTTTATCAGAATTTATCTGGTGCACCCTGCCTTAAGAGTTACGGCCTTTTTCACAGTCCCACAATACCTCATCGTTTACTCCACACTGCTTGCCTGCTCATCGTACACTTGTTTTCTAACAGTAATAAATATCTGTTATAGAAATAAATGTATATGGTTGTCTGTCTGAGTACTGGAAACAACATCCCACGATATCCTCTGCTTTTGGGTCCTTTTGCCCACAAAACAATCATGGAAGAATGCAGCGCTTCAGCAGCATACTCCTCAAGCACGGTCGCCATTTTGACTACTGAAACCAGCCTCTGAAAATGTGCATGCACGTCTGCTACCTAGATTGTCCTTAAGCTGGACTGTGCTGCTACCTAGTGATACACATAGCGGCCTCCATTCCCACCTCATGACTCAAGGTACGCGGGTTCAAAACCGGCGGAGGTCGTGGAATTTGTAAGGGCGGAAAAATTCAAGGAACAAGTCCTCCAGGAGGGGCTTTAAGCCGTGGGTCCCGTGTCGTAGATTTACAGCACGTAAAAGATCCTCATGTCTCTAGGAGACCTCTGAGCAAAATTAGGCAACAAGTTTCCCCCCCACAAGTAGTTTCCAATGCCTCTGGTAGATGGGGAATATATCAGGTACCGAGGGCCAACCTCGTTCGCTGAACGGGGCTGATAGCACGCACCAGTATCGGTAGGGCATGGCGACAGTAGAAATTAAAGGGGGAGACACAATGGACCAATAACTGGTCTAAGTGCATGGGGAAACCCACCCCCTCTAATAATAATAATAATAATAATAATAATAATAATAATAA